TTTATTGTAGAGATGAGGTCTCGCCTGCCCAGGCGGGTCTCGAACCCGCGGGCTCAGGCAATCCACTCACCTCAGCCTCCCAAAGCCACGGGATTACAGACTGAGCCACCGAGCCTGGCTGATCCCACTTCTTAAAAAAAATTAAAAGTAAAACATTAAATGAGAATGATGAAAGAGCTCCCCACACGGCCGCTGTGGTATTTAAGCAAGCATACGTGTGCAGCATCCAGGGGCGGCCGGCATCGGGTGCAGAACTGTGGGCGAGGCGCACGGGGATGGCCGAGCATGGAGAGGGGACTGCCTCGGGGCCGGGCCCTCTCGGGGTGACCTGGAGAAACTGCTGAGGGCAGTGGGTCCTCTCTTCCAGAACGTGATGGAGACACAGCATTTTGCACATAGTGTCAGGGGGTGCAGGGCCCCTCATGCTAGCCACGTGCCCGGGTTAGGAGCACTTGGTTCCCACGTGGATCGCTATGCTCTGGGGTGGAAGCAAGACCCGGGATTTGGAACCTCCTAGAGCCAGGCTTCAACCCAAGGCCTGGGCTTCCTCCTGGCCCTGCCTCAAAATCAGATTTTGCTGTGCAAAATCAGGCAAGTGAAGATCCATCTCTGAGCCTCGGTGACAGGCCTGATGTCGAGGGCTTCACATGGAAAGGGTTTGGAGTATTGGATGCTTTGGGCCCGACGTCTGGCACTCAGCACGCACTCGCTAATGTCAACCTCATCCTTGTCGTTCCTCCTGATTGAAGACCTAAGAGCTGCTGGGTGTAGAGGCTGTCTCTGTTGGGTTGCTAGCCTGTGATAACAATTCCACGATTGGGAGTTTCTGGGTCTGATCCTGCTGTCGTTGTCTGTTGGTTCTCGCACGTGGTAGACCAGTTCCCTGTGTGCTTTGTAATTTTGGATTGAGAGGTGATCTTTAGGAGGATTGACTGTGAATTCTAGGTGATCTGGACTAAGCCTAGTGCAGAAGTCAGCGGGGGGGAAATCCATTTGGCTCTGCAGGCTTCGGCCTCCAAATGGACTACTCAGCTCGGCCTTTGTGCGCAAGCAGCCACGACAGTGCATCAGCCAGTGGGCGTGGCTGGCTGTGGCCCATGGGGGACGGGGTTTGGCCCACAGGCCATTGTTTGCTCACCCCTATGCCGGAGAGCTTGTGTTTGCTTTTGCTTAGTGTCCCACCTTATTCCCAAGTGAGAATGACTTTTCTCTTATTTTTGAGTCGGAGTCTCACTCTGTCGCCCAGACTGGAGTGCAGTGGCCGCTCCCGGCCCCCGCAGCCTCGCCCTGCTGGACTCCGGCGATCCTTCCGCCTCAGCCTTCCGAATAGCTGGAATTACAGGCATGCGCTACCACGCCCGGCTGATTTTTTGATTGATTGTAGAGATGAGGTCTCGCTGCCCAGGCGGGTCTCGAACCCGCGGGCTCAGGCAATCCCCTCACCTCAGCCTCCCAAAGGCGCGGGATTACAGGCTGAGCCACCGAGCCCGGCGAGCCCATGCTTTGAACACATAGCAAGGAAATATTTGAATTATATCTGAACCATCTAAAATCCCCTTGCTGATAAAAATCAATTGGTCACTCGGATGATGGGAGTAAAGCACAGTACATATGTCAACATAAATCTACCTTTTAAAAACAAATTATGAGAAAATTAATACTTCCAAGTTAAGCAAACCAAAACCAAACATGCTATTTTGTATTTTTTGTTAAATGCAAATACTCCCAAAAGAATTAATGATGCCTGATACAACCGTTCTGGAATCTCATACTACTCTGCATTTTCAGTTAACGCTGCATAGAATGCCCCTAATTACTCTCCTCATGCAAGGTTCTTTTATGCCTTTGGAAAAGGAAAGTATTTTAAAAAATAAATGCCAGAGTGATTTCAATACAGATCTAATGAAGAAAGGTACAAGTGTGTCTTTCTTAAGTATCAATGTTATTCAACATAATAGTACCTGATGATTAAACCTGTTAACACTTTCTCAGTTTATTTACTGTAATACCTCCTCCATAAATGCTGTCAAATCTTTTTATTTCCTTCTCCCAGGGAGACTGAGGATTTGGTCCTGCTGTTCTGTTGAGTTTTTTCCCCATATTAATAGGGACCAGCAGCACATTGTATGATGTATTTCTCATTGTCCTTGGTTGTACAGCACTAGGATTGAACTTATCAGAAGGCGTGTACCTTCAGAAAGGCTGAAGAGGCACCTTATGTTGGTATATCTGCTGCTTCTGATTTGTATGTCTTGATGGATAATATTTTTAAATTGTATTACTACGCAGCCACAAAAGAGAATGAAATCATGTCCTTTGCAGCAACATGGGCGCGGCTGGAGGCCATTATTCTAAGTGAATTTGCACAGAAACTAAAAACCAAATATTGCATGTTCTCACTTCTAAGTAGGAGCTAAACATTGAGAACACACAGACATAAAGATGGAAGTAGTAGACACTGCGGACTCCTAAAGTGGGGAGAGAGGGAGTGCGGCAAGGGTTGAAAAACTACTAACTGGGTCCTGTGTTCGCTGTTTGGGTAATGAGTTCAATGGAAGCCTAAACCTCAGCATCACGCAATATCTTTGTAACAAACTTGCACTTGTACCTCCTGAATCTGAAAAATAATAATAAAATAGCATTTCATCATTCTGAAACTTATAGGGTTTTTCAGATTTTTCAAATATTTGAGTATTGTTTTAAATAAGCTTAAAGATAATTTTTATTTCCAGGATCATGATAAAAGATATATTTAAGTTAAAGCATTCCCAAATAAAGAGCCACAGAAAATGTTTTTTCTTGTTATTGACAGTATGAAAAAGTAGCCTGTATTCTGTCTAGAAAAAGAAATTCAGAGCCCCACTAATTTGTCACTTATGATCATTTTGACAAAAACTAACTTGAAGACTCTTAAATGTTTTATATCCTTTAAAAAAAAAATTGAGAGGCAGTGATTGTGGGAACTGCTTTCTAGACAAGATTGTGGGAACTGCTTTCTAGACAACCAAGTGACTCTGCATCAGTTTTCCAGAGGCTCCTCAGTCCTTTTTGTTTAAGTCCCCAGATCCTGTTTCTTTTTTTTTTTTTTTTTTTTGAGTTGGAGTCTCACTCTGTCGCTGAGACTAGAGTGCCGTGGCATGCTCCCGGCCACCGCAGCCTCAACCTGCTGGACTCCGGTGATCCTTCCGCCTCAACCTTCCAACCCAGATGCTGTTTCTACTCCAGCTCC